CCCTACAGATAATTTTCAAAGCAGAGACTAAATGAATAATAAAGGTTGGGGAAGGAAATGGACTAGAACTTACATAGTAATCTAGGTCCTAGCTATGCAAACAAACTGTGGCCTCCAACCAGCAATATCAGCATTACCTGGAAGTTCCTCGCAAATGAAAATCTGAAGCTCCACCCTAGACATACAGAATCAGATCTCCAGGTGATTCATTTGTATATTAAAGTTGGTGAAGCACTATCAAACCCCGTATATCACTGAATCCTCAAAATAACCCTGTGAAATTTCCTAGTTTACAAATGAGAAAACTCAAACTCAGAAAGTTAAATAACTTACCAAAGTCACAAAGGCATGAACATTGGGAAATGGGATTCAAACTCAAGTATATGTTTAAAAAATCCTTTCTACAATGTATTGTCTCTCAGGGAAAAGGTTTAGAAAAGCATTATCTAACAGAAAATATGATGCAAGCCACATATTTCAAATTTTCTATTAACCGCATTAAGAATAATAAAGGTAAAATTAATTTCAATAATATATTTTATTTAATCCAATGCATCTACAATATTACCATTTCAATGTGTATTCAATATAAATAATGTGATATTTTACATTCTTGTGTGTATACTGTTTGAAATCCAGTGTATATTTTACACTTATACCACATTCAATTGAGACTGGCAACATATCAAGTGCTCAATAGCTCCATGTGACTAGTGGCTACTCCACTGGACAATGCAGGTCTAGAATGTCTTGCATATTAGTCTTTTTTTAACACAAAACTGATAAGTTACTACAGGTATTGCTGAATAGAGAAAATGAACACCATGTTAATTTACCCAGACGTTTACTAAATACATATCAAAAAGAAAATTGCATATTCTGTTGTAAGCAAAATTATAGGTTTAGATGTGCCCAATTTTGCCAAGCTGACCATCAACTATAATCTCTGAGAATTATACAGTTGATCCTTGAACAAAGTTGGGAGGTCAGCGGTGCCCACTTCCTGTACAGTTGAAAATTCCTGTATAACATTTGACTACCCCAAAACTTTATTACTGATAGCCTACTGTTGACTGGAAGCCTTACCGATAGATAGATATATAACATAAACAGTTAAGTAACACATATTTTGTATGTTACACATGTTACACACTGTACTCTTACAATAAAGTAAGCTAGAAAAAAGAAGATGTTATTACAAAAACATTTGGAATAGGAAGGAAGGAAGATATATTTACTATTCATTAAGTGGAAGTAGATCATCGTAAAGGTCTTCATCCTCATGGTCTTCATGTTGAGTAGGCTGAGGAGGAGGAGGAGGAAGAGGAGGGGCTGGTCTTGTCTCAGAGGTGGCAGACGCAGAAAAAAAATCCTTGTATAAATGGACCCACACAGTTCAAACCTGAGCTGTTCAAGCGTCAACCATAATGAAAATTGGGCACAAAATAGAGCACACATGTAATACTCGGAACAGTAATGTGAAGAAGACCTAAGAAAACTTCTATATTACTTGAAACCACAGGTTTCTAAAAAGTGAGGAGAGAAGGGTGCTTTTATTTTAACCAAAAGGAAAATTTAAGATAGAGCAGTGTAATTTTAACTACGGTTCAGAATTAATTTGGCAAACATAAATAATTCAAACATACATAATCCCTGCTATAATAAATGACTTATAGATTATACACAAATTCAATATGATGTTCTATCAATAAGATAACATAAAAAGAGAAAAGATTTGAAACTAAATTAGATACTTTGCCTCCTTAACAATTCTGGAGGAAAAAAAAAGTGAGAGGCGAAATGTAAAAATAAATAAAGGGGTTTAGAGATTATCACTGAATTTAAGGCTTAACTCACTTAACCAAGTAAATACAAAATAAATCTAACTGAAAGTGAAGTAATACTGTACTATTTATAATTTGTAACCACTCAACAAATTCATGCTTCTACCTTTCAAGTCAAGTCACAAGCTCAAAAAAAGTCAACTTTTTTTCAGATTCAAATAAATGGTTATCTTTAATCAAAGAAAAAGATGTGCATGTACCATTAATATAAAATACATATAAATAAAAACAATAAATAAAAAACAAAACACAAATGTCAAATTGTAAATATTTGAAGATTTCCTGGTTTTTTTCCCCAATTAACAGCTGTTTAATAGTTTTTACCCTTTATTAAAAATACACAAAATAGAAAATGTTCTATATAAAAGCTCTCAGTGACAAAAAAAAAAAAAAAGAACTTCAAACATTCCAACTTTTCGTGTACAACTCAAAACAACAAAAAAAAGATAAAGACCAGAAAAGGAGTAGAGAGACCAGGTGTGATTTAGCATTTATCAGATACATCTTAATATTTCTTAAGAAACAGTCCCAAATTGAGAGATGTAACTAAATGCCCTAATGTTTCCATTTTTAGCCTTCATCATCCCCTGTTAAAAATCAGCTTACAAAAAGTATAGGTTATACTTGGAAACAAGTCTTCAGTCAAAATTCATTTCAACTAAAGGGGTTCAATATTCTATATTTTAAAGAATTACTTCCCTTAAAAAACAATTAGTGTATGGCAATTTACTTACTGCTCCTACAATCTTCATATTTAAGCATTGAACCTTTAAATTTCCCCTAAAAAATTTTTAAAAATGTGGGCTTTGCATTTTATTTAAAAAAAACCCATTAGTTGTAAATATGAACTAATATTGTCTTTTAATCATATCAAACTTAGAAGTTTCATGGCCAGCAACCATTTCATAAATAAGAGAGGCTCTTTTGCTAATTATCTGTGTGACCTTAGTCAAGTCATAACTCACACACCTTTGTCATTTCACCCTACTCTATAATTCTAAGCTCTGAATGCTTTAATTAACATTCATTTACCAACGTTTTTGGTTTTAATTAACCCAAAATGTAATAGGCCATGAAAATTAAAAAGGCCACAAGTAAGCACAGATGGTTGTAGCCAAGTGTTAATAAACTGGTTTCCATACCTACAAAGATTGTTCCTAATCCAGCCTGTTGTTTCATAAATTTAGATTCCTTAGGCACAGGAAATCAGACAAGAGAATGAAAAAAGCTTAGCACCTTCTACTACTAAGACTGGAGAAAAATAAGCATTAAAATTCCTAACTGACAGCGTTGTCAGGCATTTCATGCTATTACATAGCTAATACATAAAACAATATTCTCTAAACAGATCAATGTGAAAAGAAAAGATTAATACTTTTTTTTCTTCTAAGTCAAGACATCATTTTGGATCCTTTCAAAAAAAAAAAAAAGTCTGCTCCTTTCTTCTGACAATTCAAGTAGGTGGAAACTAAAGAAAACACTGTATCAGTTGACATGTTTCCTAAAAAAGTTTTTTTTTTCTTCCCCTTGCTAATGACCAAGTATTTGGAGAAAGTTTTCCTGATGACTATAATTCCACCCAGTTCTGAACAACTAGCAATTAACAAAAATCTTCAAATGTATTTTCATTCTGCCCACAACCTACATTGGCCCATTTAAGACATAAATTCTCAATCAAAAACTGGGCTTAACAACATCCTCCACCTTAAGATATACAAGGCCAAACAAACACATCCAAAATTCTATTTTTAGAGTGGCATTCACTCATGTGGCTTTCTCTTTAAAATGAGATTTACTTGACCTATTTTCATGTGTTTTTAGAGCACCCAGACACTCAACACAAAAAATATTTGCTAGTCAAAAAAACAGCAAAGCCAACATCATAAATCCTGTTATTTGTGTGAATCATGTTATTCATGTGTCCTTATATGCCACGTCTTTTAAAAGTCTAAACATAGATTCATTTACTAAAATGTCCTAGGTCTTCCAAATTCTGTGATTTTATACTGCTTTAAATGCCAACGTTATAAGTTCACATCCCATTTGAAAAGTATAAATGGGGGGGCGAGGAGTAAACCCAGTACCTGAAATGTCAATCATACAAAGAACAAAGCGTTTTCTATCATCTCTTGGCTTTCTTCTCACCTCAGTTTTACAGTTTCAATATTACAAAAATATTTAAAAAACAAAATGTTCAAAACTTGAAAAATAAATGCTCACTAAAATGGCACTTAAATAAAAACATACACCAAAATGAATAACAAGAAAAAAACCTAGTTGCCAGAACGTGTGTGCAAACTTACAGTCCTGCAGATTTTACCTAAGGGGAGAACGGTTTCATCGCCACCCTCTCAAAAACAATTTTACAGCCCTTCTCTAGGAGCCTTCAGAAAGTAAACAGCGACAACAATGGAAGACCCTCACTCTTTCAGACGGGATGGAGGATAAGAAGAGAACTCCGCACCCAGCAACCAGAACAAAGCAACAGCCTGGGCTTTTAAGTCGCACGGAGGTTGGGGAGGCTCAACGGGTATTCCAAGAGATCTAACTGTTCGGCGCTTCAACGACCGTCAAAACAAGCAGGAATATGCAGTAATGAGTTTCACTAGGACTAGGTGAAGGGACTGCTCTACTTCGTATTAGGCAAGACCTTGACACTGAGCAGGAGAAGGAAGGAGAGAAGAGAAAGAAGCAGCCAAAGACACTCCGGGAAAAAGACAAGATGCAGACTGTACGCCCTGGGTTCGATCTGACCCAAGGCCCAAAGTGTTTGACTCAAACGGAAACAGGGAGCAGATTACTCCCCCAGTCACCGCCACCCCTAAACCTTGAGGCCAGAAGGTCCCTGGGCAGAGGCCTGACACCACCGCCGAAGGGAAGGAGAGGGACCCGCCTGCCGCCAAAGGCAGCGACGCGGACTCGCGGAAGAGGCTGCGCAGTAATGGCCGCTGCTCCGCCTCTCGCACCCCGACCGAGCCCAGCTCCGGCCGTCGCCCTGGGCAGGGGCTGCGGCACCCGAGGGCAACGCAGAGGCCGTCAGTCTTCTTGCCTGCGACAACAACCAAGGCGGGGGCGGCGGAAAGGGCTGAGCTGTCCCATCCCGCCTCCGCGCGGACAGCCCGAGCCGCGCCAGCCCAAGGGCGTCCATCTACGTACCGGCCCCTGACCCCGCCGCCGCCCCTCTCAGGCCCCAAGCGCAGGGCCGACCCGGAGAGCGTCGCGGCTGGAGGTGACACGGCCATCTGGGCCTCCTCTCCCCGAGTTAGGATACCGGAGTGGCCGGCCTTCACCCTGCCCCCCGCGAGGGCTTCGCCCCGACTCCCACCTCTCCGGCCACAGCCGCGGCCACCTCGCTGTCTTTTTCTCTTCGGCCTCGGAACCCGCAGAGGCCGGGAACGCGCGCGGCCGTCACGTGACCTCCCGGCGCGTCTCGGGGGCGGGGCCGCGCGGAGCGGAAGCCGCACCGCGCACTCGCGAGCTCGCTCCGGAGCGTCCCCGCCCTGTGTCTTTTTCTTCGCTCCGCCCTTGGATCACGGCGCTGCGGGCGCTGCGGGCGCTGCGCGCCTGCGATTTGCCGGGAACCAGCAGTTTCGCTCCCTGGGTTCTTCTAACTGCTTTATATTTTACTTTATTTGTATTAGGCGCTGGAGGCTCTAGTGCAAGTCCACCAGAAAGAGATTCGGAGCGGAGAAAGTAAGAAGCATGTAGGACCATTAGGTAGTAATACTAAAAAATCCAGCTTTCAAACCCACAAGAAGCCCTTGGACGCCTAGCTGAGTTTCAGTTTGAAGATCCCTTAGCAAAAGTACTGTGTGTTCCCTTTTATGAAAAAAGGGGGGCGAAGGAGGAAGAGTACACTAGGACGTTCCAATGTATTCATTCACCTTCTGAATGGTTGAAAAATTTAATCGAAAAGAAATGGATATTACTTTCTTTTTGAACGGAATAGTGCATAAGAAGCTAGAAGAAGAAATCGACATAAGAATCTAAAATTAAAGAAATGGATTATTTTAATTGTGAGCGTGTGTTTTAAAACATCAAAACTCTAGCATTCTTCAATTTCACTTTGGCATGTGCATGGCCGTTTTTAGAACTACGTATTCTTAATTTATAGTAAAATGAAGAGGGTGAAAGAGCGTGCCTTTTATCTTGGAAGGAGTATGTATTTCAACATTATGACAATATTCTTACTTGCAATGATGTTGCATTTTGAGATTTTATTGACTATTTCATTCGGAATTGGAAGTTTTCAGTGTTCTTATATGTGTAGAAACGTGTAAATTTTGTAGTGTTCCCTGAATTCAATGTATTTCAGGGTTCTTATTCATATATATCAATACATAAACCAATCTCTGGAAGAGTACTATCTAATTCAGTGAGGTTCACTCATGTAAACAATACCATTTTTCGTATCACTTTTATAATTGTAGACATATGCTTTGCTTTAAGCTTAGTTCACTTTTATTAGCAACCCAGTTTTACCCTTCTACACAACCCATGAACAGATAATAGCAAAAATTTGATGCGTAAAGATTCCAACTTGAAGAGATAATACTAATATTAACTAACAATGTGTCAGGCGTTGTTCTCAGTGTTTTACACATACATACTCATTAATCCTCATAATAAGCTATGAGGTAGGCACTATTGTTATTCCCATTTTATAGAAACAGACACACAGCTGAGATTTGAATCCAGGCAGAGACTATAAGGGGTCACCTAGTCCGATTCTTCATTTTCCTAATTTTCATCAATTAGAAAATAGATATAACAAGGTGAAATGACTTGCTTAAAGACCTTCTTGTTCGATGTAGAGCTGGGATCAGAACACAGGTATATTTCCTGGTCCATAAATACTTTTAATTTAGGGAAAGTTTTTCACAGTTCTTCAGTCGCTCTAGTTGCATATTTAGAACAGGTTCTTTAAATTAATATTGTAAATTATATTCTATTTATCTATCTAGCTTTACATTAGCACATAAGACAAGAATGAATCAACAGGGATCTCTCTGAAATGTTCTTCCAGGCATCAAACTCTCTCTCTTGGCCACACCTGCAGTCTTTGTCATTTCTATAAATGGCTGTATCTTTCCTTGTCTAAACTCATCTTTAATTGCTCTCTTTCTCTTATGTCCCATATCCATTTTGCAAATAATCTGTTGGCTTCAAAATATATCCAGAATCCAGCTACTTACCCCCTCTATCACAATCTACATCATCTCTTGTTTGGATTACAGTATTGCAGTAGAACAGGAACTGATCTTGTTTCTGTCCTTGCTTTCTTTTGAGTCTATTGTCAACACAGTAGCCAAAGTAAATCTATTAAAAACGAAGTGAGATCATACCACTCCTCTGTTTAAAGTTCTCCCATGGCTTCCCCACACAAAGTAAAAACCAAAGTCCTTACAATGGCTTTAAAATCCTCCCCTCATTACCTCTCTGACCTCATAGACTGCTCACCTAGCTTTGTGTTCCTAGAAGACTGAACACAAGCTCTCAACCTTATGATCTTTGCATTTGCTGTTTCCTCTGCTTAGAACACTATTCCCCATAGTCCTCCCTCCCTCTGTGCTCAAATGTCATCTTTTCAGTCCCTACATGACACCCTATTTTAAATCATGGCATTGTCCATTCCCAATACTTCTTATTCCTCCCTTTACATTTTCTCCTTAACACTTATCACATGGTAACGGATAATTTATTTTACTTATTCATCTTTATTGTGTTTCTTGCCACGCTAGAACATAAGACTCATAAGGGCAGTAATTTGTGTTTTATTTTGTATTCCAACTGCCAAAATAGAGCCTAACACATTTAGAGAGGCTCTCTGTAAATATGTGCTGAATGGATGAATAGATGAGTGAATATGTGCACACAAATGAACATGTATGTGAATGTATATATGCATATACACATTTATATATGAATAAAAAGTGAACTTCTTATTTGTCGACAATTATATATAAAGAGAATTAAATATGGAATACTATGCACTACACCTCCACCAGCCACCTGAAAAAGATAGCGATAAGTTTCTATCATTGGATAATACAGGACAGCACCTCTCCGTATTGTGAGAAATGTTTTAAAAATAATTGGTTTCCAGTAATTAAGTGCCCAGACCTTCACATTATTTCCTTAAAGAAATCAGAGCCTAACGGATTAAAACTATCTCTGTAATAATGTTCCTGTCACTGAGATTCTATTTTGCTTCATTGAATCAGGATAAAGAAGTTGCAGCAGAGAGCTAGGACTTGCCCATTATTTATAATCCACTGTCTATTTCCCATAAGCTTGTACAATACTTTTATGAATACCACACATCTCTTCCAGGCACCCACTCTTCACCATACTATCCTTCCAACACCTGAAATTGTCTGAAGTTTCACGTAAAGATCAAAATAATATCTGAAAACATTCATGAAAATGTGTATGAGAAAATTGTGTGTGTTACAGGGAAATACATGTTGAAAACCATTGCTGTAGCTAGCCTAGGGCAGTGGTTTTCATAGTGTTATCTAGAGACCCCCTAGGGGTCCTTGTGACCCTTGCGGAGGGTCTGAAAGGGGATCATTCTTTTTATAATACAAAGACTTTAGATGCCTTGTTCATTTGCACTCTCTCAAATAGACAGTGGAGTTTTCCACAAACTACATGATGTGTGATGCAGCAATAGATTGAATGTAGAAGCAGATACGAGAATTTGGCTGTATGTATTAAGTCATGCATTAAAGAGATGTAAAAATATGAAAAATGTAAAGTGCCACTCTTCTCTTTCAGTTAGCTTGTTTTGGAAAATGGTTATTTTTCATACAATCTGTCGTTTAGGTATGTTAATAATGCATCTAATATTTTTAAATGAATTAAATATTTTAAATAGTTCTGTTTCAATTTTTAATTTGGTAAATGCTGATTAACACATGTGAACAAAAGTTCATTGGAATCTTCTATAATTTTTAATAGTGTAAAGGGGTCCTGAGACCAAAAATGTTGAGAACACTGCTCTGGGGCTATTTCTTACACCAACTCTAAGTTAGATTTATTTCCACATGCCAGCACTCATCTGATCGCTATGGACACAACTTTCTCATATGTCTGAAAACAGAACAAACAAGATTCAGGAATGTACAAGTAATTATAGCTAGCAGACGAGTGAAAATAAAGCCAAGAGGAAGTTTTAGAAAGCAAACTTTTCCATTTCAATTGAAGATTTTGCTTCCAGAGCTGATAGCTTGGTTTCTGTCCTACCATTTAATGTTGTTCTACGCACAGTAATCAAATAATATATGCTTTTCTAGTAGAACTCCTTTGTAAATAATAGCATACTTAGCCAGTTTGCTTGTGTTTTTTTTAACCTGATGTGATCATCAATGCTTTCTCCGTGAATAGTTAGTTCTCAATGTTCCTACTCCAGATCCAGAAGTTACAAATGAATTATGACAATATTTAGCCAGGAAATAGCCTGAAATAAAACCGTCACTCAGTCAAATGTTGTAGTTTGACTATAAAGGCAAGCATGCACTTTATAACCATGTATACATGATATAGGTATTGATTTTAGATGTCTTATGTTGACAATAATAACTATTATCTCCAAAGTCCATGCTTGTTTTATGAAACAACATGACCTGTCATTGAGCATAGTATTGAAAGATAAGAATAAATGCTCTTTGATTTAGTAATGACAGAGTTTTTTAAAGCTAGATTATTATCTTAATAGTCACTTAAGCAATGCACTCCTATCACATAAAGGAAATAATTTATGTTCATAAAGGCAGCAATTATGTTTCATAATGTCACATTTTCCTCAAAAATGATTAGGATTTGGGAAATCCATGTTAAAAGGTTTTATAATTATACATATTTTGGATTTATTTATTTATTAAATTGTATGCAAATCATATCAGTTCAATACAATTATAACCTAAAAACTTGAAATATTTTCACAGAAGTGTGTCAGTCAAGATCCTGTTTGAATAACAGAAACCATCTTAAGTATTTCAAAAAAAGGGAATTTAATGTACTAAATTGATGGCAAAAGTAGTAGAAAAGTGAAGGAGCTAAAAAGAAAGATGAAGATAACCTGAAATCAGTAACTGTGAAAAGGCACTAGCTCTTCTAAGGCTGAAGGAGCAAAGGGAGGCTCCTGGGAGCTCCCGGAGGCTGCTGGAGCACTTTTTTTGAACTGCTGTCATAGGAAGCCAGGGTGTCATATGCTCACTGAGCCTGCAGAAGCCCAGGAACTCACAGCCACAAGCAGTCACCTAACACTTCAATACTAGAACTAGAAACAAGAAAAAAAAATCACCTTCTCCCTTCCACCTTTTTGCATATGAATGCCTCCCATGGGCAGAACCAAACAGGAAATGTCTGTCAAAGGGTTCTTAAAAATGACCTTTTCTAGCTCGCTTAGATATAAAGCAAAATACGGAAGTGCCAGGGTGGGCTAGGCATCAAGTACCTGGTTCATAAACTTTTAAAAATGGTTTATTATATTGCTCAAGGTA